AGTTCCAAGTGTTGAATTAGTTCATATAGCGGATTTCGCTGCATTTGCAGGCTCAAAACCATGGTTTTCATGGTTAAATGCTACGGGTTGCTGAAAAATTAATTAGATGCGATTACGTTCATTTTATACACTTTCTATCTATTTTATTTTTTGGTGGACAAAATTAGATTATTCCTAGGTGGGCAAAACATGCTTGTGTGTTAAAGAATTTTTTGGCCGAAGCCCAGCGCGGAGCCTGTCTTATCTAATCTGTACTGCTAGACTGTATCTAATCTGTAGCTAGTCTAGAGTGCTACTCTGGCCTCATTTTCCTCACTCCTACTGCACGCTCAACTCTCTTAACTTTTCATGTTCATCAGTTGCAACTTGATTAGATAGAAGATATTTTATTCATATACACACGGTCATAGAATTGGACACAGAAGGAGGAATGAAATCCGTATGAATTCGCACTCAGCGCACGCCTCTCTGATCGTCCAATGCTCCACATAATCCAACTTATGAGTTGAGATGAACAGCAATCACTTCAATATAAGAGCCATTAAACGTACGGTCACTGCTGTATAGAGTGGCGTGAGCTTCCCATGTATCTGTTACAGTCACTCCTGGTGGCTAGAGCGGCCGGGGGCAGGGGGAGTCCTGGCTCGGAGGGGTAGGGGGCAACTTGCTAGGGGAAGTTTTTTTCTTGCAGGGTAAGGGGATTGTGCGGTAGGGAAGGTTCTCACTTGGAGGGTAAGGGGATTGTGCGGTAGGGAAGGTTCTCACTTGGAGGGTAAGGGGATTGTGCGGTAGGGAAGGTTCTCACTTGGAGGGTAAGGGGATTGTGCGGTAGGGAAGGTTCTCACTTGGAGGGTAAGGGGATTGTGCGGTAGGGAAGGTTCTCACTTGGAGGGTAAGGGGATTGTGCGGTAGGGAAGGTTCTCACTTGGGTAGGGTAAGGGGATTGTGCAGTAGGGAAGGTTCTAGAAGGGAAGAAAACGAAGTAGAATAGCAGGTTTCTACTTTAGGTTCTCGTTCTATGCCAAGAGTATTTAATTGTTGTTGTTTCTTGCCTTGAATTTACAGTTTGCCTCACTTTCTAGATAGCTCATATATAAGTTCAAGAGATTAAGCTAAGGCTTCTCGATGAAGTATGAAGAGTATCAATGAAACACCTGTACCATCGGCAATCGAATTTTTAAGCAGAGAGTGCTGAAATTTATTGGATTAAATTGGCTACGTTTGTCAAAGAACGATTAAATAACGAGTTCAAGGCCTACTGGACTGGAACCCATGTAACTGCATTTTCTTTGTATCATAGTTTGGCTGATTACATCCAAGCTTAATTTTTTATTGAAATATGACCGCATTTTTTTACCTTTCCCTGACCTCCCGAAAATTATCTTTTATCGGTCCCAACAGCTGAAAATTTATAAACTTTTTCGTAGGGAATTCTGCTTCAGATCCTGATATCGACCTACATCGACTGGCACTTGTCGCTCTGAATTCATATTAGGCATTTAAAAACAGATGAATTTTCCTGATATTGTCTTTGTCACGTTTAGATTTTAATGTTTGCTTCAAATTCTTATTAGTTCACGTCATTGAGCTTCAAGCATGCCTGTATTGAGCAGCATAAGCAGTACCAGTTCAGTCTAGTTCAAACCAACGCCCCTACAGCCCTCCAACCAGCACACTCGTCCTTGTAAATTCAACAAGCTTAGCATTATTTGTCTCTTAGTTGGGCTGAAATTTAACTTTGCTTGGCGTCGTCATTGTATTTGAAATTAACTAAATATAAATAGAAATTAAACACAAATACAACTTGTTCATATTTTTTGCATCGATATTGAATAAAATGTAAGAACAAATAAATTATAAGAATAGGCGCGAACACGAAATGAACAAGTATTTAGCAGGATTTAATGTGTTGTAATTCTGAATTCCTTATGCTTAGTCTAATAAATTAAATCGCTTCTGGATGAAGACATGAAGTGACCTCCAGGTTGAACGAGGAGTCCGTGCACATGTAAAAGAAAAATAAAGTTAATCAAGGCTACTTTCTAAGAGCTAAACCTGCCTTGGCTCAGTCTTGGCTGGTTGGAGGGTGCTGGTATAGGTGATGTTAGTGACGGTGATGTGGTGGCAGCAGCTGCAGCTGATGCGTTGGTTGGTTGGCTGGCTGGCTGGCTAGCAGGCCAAGACCTCTTGGCTGAACAGCCCGACACTCTTGGCTGGGACGAGACGGCGCCAGCAAGCACTCCACACAATCACTTTACCTCTCATGATTCGTCGCGATCACTGACTTCACTTGTGAATTTTGCCACCTCAAAGCGAGCCGCACCTTGCTTGCTGTTGAACATTAGTTCATCATTAACATAAGACACGAACAAAATATAGCCGGTCACTGCAGCAGCCTCCGCTCTTTCACCATCGTTGATTCTGAAAAAGTTGGCTTAGGAAGACAGGGCACTTGGTTGCCTGCTTTGTTGTTAAATAATAAAGTAAAAGGCTCGGTACTGTTCAGGGTTTCTTTTGCATTATTATTATTAGCATTTTGGCTGATATCATCATCCCATTATAAGTCATATGCGATGTATTTTGGTTCATAACAACGTCGTCTACCATTTTTTAAGCTTGGAATGTTTTTTGAAGCAGTATGCGTTTACTGCTGGGACTTCTAGGACTCACTGCTAGGAGGTCTATACTCGACCCTCGTCTGATCGATAAAATTCGTTTCAGTCAAGTCCACTTGTATTTATAGGAGTCTCTACCGGCGAGAGTTGGAGACATGCGTTGACGCCTCGTAGGCGGGGCAAAAGAAGCGAATGTGGCGCGCTATTGGCTACGCGGCAGCGTGGTGAGCACGTGATATGCGCAAGCTACCGCAGCGCAGCGGCGTGATCTTGCGCAGTGTTGGACTCAAGGCAAAACTTGTTTGAATGCTAGAGGTTAACATGTCGCGCGACTCCCATGAACATCTTTTTGCGCTTTGGATGTACCTTCTCAGTCAGATAGTTTTGCCCATCATTTGTCTGGAATGTTAGTCAAGGAATCAATAATGAAATCAATTCTATTCAGAGTACAATCGAAATCCGATTATAATTTGATTTTTTGGAGTTATGAATTAAACAAAATATTCGTACGTTTTTTTAATTATTATATTATTGTTCTTTTATTGAAAAACGCGAAGTATGAAGTATGTGAAGCCTCGAGTTGCTGTAATAGGTTAAATGCAAGTTGAATTTAGAGTTCAGGTGACATACTGCCTGCTTTATATAGTACTTCCCTTCATGTTTATACGCGAATGCTGGCCAATTTTACAAATGGCACCTGAAGCCACTTCGTGGTAGCTTTGTGTCACTTCTGTCTTTTTTGATACACATCTTCTCTTGACTTGATTTTTGCTGTATCTTAGTGCCCAATTGAAGTATGTTTCGCTCGCTGTTTTGTCTTCTTTTTGAATTCATTAGCCATGTAATCTTTGACTCAGTTCGAGTGAAACCAGTACTTGGGATTAAAAGGTCGCTTCGTTGCTTAGTTCTAATGGGCTACGTGGGCCTACTGCTGATAAAAGAGAGCTATATAACCCTATGGCAGTGGCTTCCAAGCCTTTTCACCTCTCTTTACTTATTAAATATCACTTGATACGAATTCACATCTCTTTGCACAAATATTGTCAATAAGCATGTTTCTAAAAAGTTGCATTTTGTTCCGAGAAAATATTTTCTCGCCTAAATTACACACGATAATTTAAAAACCATTCTAATTGCTAGTTTACACATTCTAGGATCCACATCTACTAGGCGCTGATGTCCATTCATTATCCACTGAATTCTTTTCGTTCATGCATGGCTATCCTGATGTCCATTCATTATCCACGAAATTCGTTTATGGCTATCATACGTGCGCCATTCGGACGATCAGAACTTGGTTGTTTTGGATTTCCCAAGTGGCGATATCTGCCTGTAATAACAGCCTCTCTTTTCTGTAAGTTCAGTGATAAGCACTAAGCTCAACTCGTCTCACTTCATTCTAGATGCTCCGAAAACGTCTCATGGTTGATTTTAGGATTCATTTTGCCACCATTTGACGTGTAAGTTCATAGCCTCAATCTCGTTGTTAGGATTTGTTTTCTAAATTTAGCCTCATTCACGTTGTTAGGATTTGTTTTCTAAATTTAGCCTCATTCACGTTGTTAGGATTTGTTTTCTAAAATTAGCCTCATTCACGTTGTTAGGATTTATTTTCTAAATTTAGCCTCATTCACGTTGTTAGGATTTGTTTTCTAAATTTAGCCTCATTCACGTTGTTAGGATTTGTTTTCTAAATTTAGCCTCATTCACGATGTTAGGATTTGTTTTCTAAATTTATATTTTTTAGCTTAGAATATCGAGAAACTTTAGAAGTGAATGTCCCGTTATAATGCCGTCGTGACTCAGGAATTGTGTACATCAAGTGAACACCCTGCTTTATTCTGCAATTTGCAATGCAAAAATTATCAATGGTTTTGTCGATGTTTGCAATTCAAAGTAGTTTTATTTTTGCTTAAGCAGTCTATATCACCCATGCCCAGTTCATCGATAAGACAACATATTACGTGTCAAGAAAAACTTTTGTTTTGCTTCCTCGTACATTAGTGTATTTCCGTTTACATGCGATCACCATTGATAATTATTTCAAAGCTGCAATCGTTGATCTAATTTTTTTAAATTCCAATGCCATGCCATACGCTTATGCTTTGATACGGAAATTAAAGCAGAGCAATTGTTCCATTTTCTCTTCGTCTCGTAAAAGATCGTTCATAATATGTACGTTTATGCAGTTGTTCTATTCTCCCATGTACTTGTCTGCAAGGGCATGAACGTAAAATTCAAGAACTATATTCCCTACAGAAATGAGGTCAACGTTAAAAGATTGTATTAGTGTTTGGTCAGCTGTTTTTATAGTGTGCACTGTACGAGTTCTCTCAATACCATAAAATAAGTGCAAGTATGAGACGAATATTCTCTGTTCTGCAGTACCCGAAGCGGCGGTCATCATACGGTGGCGTGACTCACGGTAACAACAGGAAGTCTTCATCAAGTCAGTCCTCACCTCCTCGTCTCCAGCCTGCACCCAACCAGCCTGCACTCAACCAGCCACCTCACACTTCCCTGCACCACAGCTCGCGTGCTCATCTTGTGCCTGATGTGCGCACAGTTACCGTATCTCAAGCTGCTTCAAATCTCCAGTCTCATACCGAGTGGAGTGCTCTCTCCAATGATACTCTTTCGAGAAATCCTCGCCTTATTGCTCCTGCGTCGCTTCCTCAACAAATTTTTACTGCCTTTGTTACGAAGGGTAAGTTGTCTAATGTTATCGTATTACAAATATTATAATTCATGTACAACTTACCTCCATTAAGCAATGTTTTATCCGTGATGAAATACTTGAGCTGCGTGAATTGCAGCCCAAACTGGAATCATATTGACAGTAAATATACTAATGACACCATTCAACTTCTGCGCTGTGAAGATACCTATTTTATAATTTATCTTTATATGGTTAGTTTTCATTTCTATTGGAATTTTTTTGTTTAAATATGCTAAAAGTAATTTGTATACTCATGCAATATACTGTCATAATAACACAAAATTGCTGCGTTTCAGGAGAGCCTGGCGAACAACCCTCGAGCGCCACTCAGCGGCAAGATGGCCACAATAGCAGCGGTCACTTGGTTTTCTCGAATGGCTCAGGAAACAGTTCAACGTCCTCGCCCGTCAAGCTTTCATTTGTTATTCCCAATATTTCTCCTCCTGCATTGATTCCCCTGACAACTGTGACACCTTTCACTACTACCGAAGGTCTAACATCGAAGCCCCTTCAGTCGGGGTCAGGCAGTATCTCCATTGCTCAACTGCACCAAGCGTCATTTTCCGCTCCCCCAAACACGCTCCATAAACTACCTTTTCTGTCGGCATCTTCAAGTAATGCCTCGGGGAGCTCTACACCACTCAACAGCTTGGCTCACTTGCCTGGAGGTGGCACAGCGTTCTTTGCCACCCCCATAGCATTCAGCGCTTCAGCTTCCGGCGTTACTGTGGCACCCGCGACCAGCACCTCTGCCCCTTGTCCCACGGGTGCTCGCTCTACTGTCCCCGTCACGCTACCCAGCGTTACGCTCTCTGCCGTCACACCTTCGTCGCTCAAGTCTATACCTCAGAGTCAGGTAAAACTGAATTGTGTTCCCGGCATATTGTAGTGCTGTTTCAAGTTTGCATGTAGGTGTTCAACCGCGAAGTTTTGATATTGTAGCGCTGTTTCAAGTTTGCATGAAGGTGTTCAACCTGTCTCTTATACACATCTAGATGTGTATAAGAGACAGNCATCTCCTATTCCCTCGCCACCAAACAAAGCTTTCAGGCAAGTGTTCTTACTCTTTCATGGCAAATTTTCTCCCAATAACTTTCCAAGTTTGGAAAAAGTTGGATCGTACAAACCTCGAGATATTTGATAACTTATGTTCAGCTAAATCCTAAAAATAAGGTGCTTTCATAACAACCTCTAATAGAATTGTGTGCAAATTTTGTTTGACCCTCACGTTTATTTTTTCCAGACCTAAGAATGACCAGGAGCGAGTGCAGTATCGCGAGCATCGGCGCGTGTGTCACATCAACGCCGAGAAGAAGAGGCGCTGTAGCATCAAGAGCAACTTTGAAACACTTCATTCCCTTATTCCATCCATCACCAGCTCTTCCAATAGCAAGGTTGGGTTCTTCTCTTTTTTAGGAAATTCACATTTCTGTCATAACTCTTCTAATCATTAGCATATTATACATTGTATTATATGCATGGCAAAGGGATAGATGTACTTCATTGATATGGTTTCGACTTTATAGAGATTAATGTTTGCATTCGTGCCTAAGAAATGAAAAAAGGGTCGTTATAACTTTATAACTAGTGTATATAGTTGGTGTATCGCAGCCCTCAAACGGCAGGCTTGCGGGTGTGCACTGCAGTGCCTAAGTGAATCATTTAACAAGCATCTTCGCTATTCTTGAAGAACATTGTTGCATTTTCCTAAATTACTGTTATTATTAATTTATGACTGAATTGACGTCTTTTTAATATGAATTTCTTGTTTTGTAGATCAGCAAAGCTGCACTTCTTCATAAAGGAGCTGACTATATAAAGCAACTCAAAAGCGATCGCGAACAACTTGCTCAGAAAATAGACTTAGCGAAACAAGAGCTCGAGAGCCTTTCAGCCCAAATAAGGTAAGTTCTCTATGTGGCAGTCAGTTTTTTTTTTTATCTCAGAAGATAGCTTTAAGAAATTATTATTTTTTTCACGCTAATTCTTGTCTCAAGCCTTATATTTTGTGCTGAATTAGTGCACGCGCGACTTGGGAATCATCTCTTTTTTTTTCAAACGTCAAAACTCAGTTCCTGCGATTTCTTGGCTAACGGAAAAAAATATAACTCAGTACTCACTGCAGTGAGTGACAGTAAGCGCATTTTCTCGTCGACGAAAACTTGAGGTCACGGACGGACATGACTAGCACAATAGTGCATTTTTTCCATTAATGAGAAAATGCGCTAAAGAGAGATTATAATAGAACTGGGGGATGCGAACGGTAAGACTCCAAAAGTGCCACTCTGATTTTACCGTATTAATCCTACTATTTTACTACAGTAGACAAGTAAATCTTTGTTGTCTGTGCGCAGCACTGCCCAGTCGCAGCTGCCCGCCACGGGCGCCCCTATGAGCCACTCCCGCCACAACCAGCTTGGCCAGATGTACAAGGACTACGTTAGGGACCGAACCCTCAACCAGAACTGGAAGTTCTATATCTTTTCTCTGCTCGGAGATACGCTACTTCAGAGTTTTAATGCTAACGTCTCCACGGCTTCAGTTGAGGATCTCAGTCGCTCCTCCCTCGCTTGGCTTGACCAGCATTGCTCATTGAACCTCCTCAGGCCAGGTAGGTGCCGACATAGCAAAATTTTCTTATAGACGAAGCAGCATAATTTTTTACGAATGTTATTTGTGACGTTCCATAAAAATATGTACAATTATCGAACAGAACACAATAACCTATCTGAGATGGTTGTCTCATTGCAGTTGTGTCCAGCAAGATGTTGCAGTTGAGCCAACAAACGAGTGTGCTGAGCAGTCCTCAGATGCTACCTGAGGAGATCTACCACATCGTTACCAAACAGGAAGACAGGAACAACAGCAACAACAGTGGCGGCAGCAGCAGCAACAGTAGCCGCAGCAGTAGCCTCGTACGAATGTAGGAGCTGTGAAGCAAGATTAAGTCGGAAGCAGTTCACAGTTGACCTCTCCATAACTTGCAACACTAATACGTGGCAGCTTTAGGCAGTTGCTTATCGATTGGCATGCTCTTTTAGGAGTTACTTTTGTTTCTCGTTATTGTCTTATTCATAGGTCGGTATTTGAAGCGTTTTTATTGACAGTGTTTTATTAAGAGTACGTAACATGCTCTCTTCCAGCTGGTATGGGGGACATAAAAGTAGATATTTTCTATCATGAACATGTCCCACTGCAGCCACTGTGTTCGTATTGGCATCAGACTTGGGTTCATTGATCGCCTGCTTGTGAGGTAGCAAATTGAACGAGTTTATTATCTCTGTACATTACGTCGTGCCATTAATATCACCGAGGATTAATTGAGATTTAAGGTAATAATAATAATAATGATATAATTGAATGTTTTCCGATTATCTTTAAAATATTGTATGTTCTAAAATTCACAAAAATCTAGTACCAAAATAAATATTCTGAAAGTGATTTTTTCAATTGAATAAATAATATTCAGCTCATGCCCGTTATGATGCATCAATAAGCTTTAGGAATTTGTTTTGGAAAGTACAAAAATGTTCTATAGATTTAAGCTGTAAATAGGAAAGGTCGCGCGTAGGATTCTAGGATTCGAGCGATGTTGTCGAATTTCAAGCACAGGGCACGAAGAAGCTGATGTTGCGGCATTACTTACTGATGTTACTTGCTGAGGTAAAGTGGAGTGAGAATTATATTCTTCAAAGTTGCTGTTAAAAGTTGAAAGCTGGTTCAATATTGTAGTTTTCATTTATCGGTGGTATTAACAGATTTCGTAGCATGGCCTATAAATGTACCTTCTGTGCAAAAACAGTTCTTTCAAAAAAAAATCAATGGTGATATCCATTCTCTGAAGGAAAGGTTCGCTTTTGTGTTGTCTCAAAGTTGTAAAATTTTAGGGTCTATAACGGAAAAAAATATGCTAGGAATTTTTTTTCCGTTGGAGAAGCAAAATTCGTTGACAATAAGAGTGTGTTTGGCAGCCGCAGTATTCTCGCGTGTGTTTCATCAAGTTAGCTCAAAAGTACCATGTTCATGACTTTGCTTGCACCCTAAGAACTAATACGTCAATTCAGTAAACGTTATCAATGGCCTGGTATTGCGAATAGCTGTCTGGAGGCACAACATACTCCTATCCATGGATAGAAATGAGCTGTTAATAATTCCTTATAACCAGGTACAGTTGCTCTGTTATCGTAATTAAGACGTACGAATAATTGTGCAATAAGAATTCTAATATTTGATTTCGTATTGTCAGTAATGTCAGGCTTTTAATAAACAGGCATATTAAGCATGTTATTATTAAAATATATGGATAAATTAGATCAGGCTCTGTAAAAAGTACAAAGTCTGAGTCAAATATGTATAAATAACTATATTTATTACACGTTTATCGTTGAAAGACAGTTTTCTTACTCGTGTGTTTCATTTTCTTTGCGGAGCTACCAGACGGAATTTTCAGCTTAATTGTTCTCAACAGTGAAACACTCGATTCGTTTTGCGCCAGCCCATTCCTCAGCTCGAGCCAATAACATCAAAACAGCCTCTGGTATTCATCATTCCTTAGATAAAACTTAATAAATGTCAACAACTCAGCTGTATAGGTACACTAGTATTCATACCTTAAATTATAACTTCAGCATCACACGATTAGCTATTATACTGTTACGCTATAATCGTGGTACTTTACTCACCACTTTAGCATCACACGTTCATTCAAAATGGAATAGTGAAGTGGGGTGGACGGGACCTTGCGCTGCAGCACCTCCACCGTCCTCATTTAGTTTGTCTTGAAGTGGCACTCCATTTATGAGGTAATCTTGCATTAACATGACGGAAATTTTGACAGGATAAATTATGAAATTAGCTTTACACCGTCAAGAGTGACCCAGAGGCAGACTTCGTACTCGTGAGCTATAACCTCATCACTTGACTTCTTCATCAAAGCGCTCGTCAGAAGTCTTGTGGGATTTCGCATTCCTAGAGCATCATTCCTCAGCGCCCCCCGCAGAGCACGCAGCGTCTGACGGCGGGTCCCAGTTGTGGGAAAGCTATAATGTAGGTAGGATTCCTCACATTTCCCTCTCTGTCTCTCTCGCGAGGGTGGCCGGCGCCTCGTGTTAGCGACCTCTTGCACGAGGGTCTTCGTTGCTGATGTTGTTCACCTGTTCCTCCTAGTCACTTCGTCTCTTTGAGATGCTAGCGCTGCTTGTTTCTTGTCAGTTTCAGCGGGCTTGACAAGCGAGACCTTCCATCGCATTGATGATGTTCATCTTGACTTTCGGTGCAAGATAGCTAAAAACATGTGGGCACTCAACTAACTGTTCATTAGAACTAGAACCAACATTGCCCTTGGAGTTGCACTTCGTAGAGCTTATTTGTGGCCGACGTAGCGTCGTTATTCATGAGATGTCATCAGGCCATACCATTGGTAAGAGTACCACAGGCAAACCCGTGTTTTAGATTTTGCTGCATTCCTGCAGCTGCAACCACGACAAATTACATGAACTTGATGCCACACGTTCGGTTGTGTATAAAACATCGCTTCCCTCTTCCAGCAACGACATACAATGATTACATTAATTGAAGCAAAAAAAAATATCCATATGAAGTGGCCATTTTTTTCTCAATAACTCAGGAATAAGAAGATTAATGGTAGAATCGCAGCCTCTCTTAACTGAATATCGTTATCACAAATATATGAATGTACTCTTTGGTTCTTATCTTATTTTAGATCCATGGGCATTGGGCAATGCATCTTACTGACCCGAAAATCTTCGAGAAGTGCTAAAACTCATCACAGTGACGTGGCAATCTTTAACGCACGCTATCACAAATTTAAAATTCTCACATCCGGAGAACGAGCTGTAAATTTTTAATTGGAATATCGCAAAACTAGTTGTGGACCACAGAGAGAAAGATGCTCAATCTGTCGATCTCCACTGCCAGCTTATGACTAATTCATGGGTCCATTTCTGGTGGGTCAATTCTATGCTACTTTGACAAAAATTTTGAGATTTTGACGCTACGATTGGGAGTAATGTCCCATACTTGTTCACCTTGTTACCCAACTCAACATGAAACAATAGGCATACACAGAAAACTTTGCACGAGAAAATCAGACAAGCACCAAAAGATTTAATCTGGCTAAATTACGCGCTAACATAAATTATTCAAACAAACCAAAACAACTAAAACTATAAAATTATAAACATAGACACAAGGAATTAACGTCAAAAAGGTTCAAAAATATGCTCGAGTGTCTTGGATAAATGTTCTCTATCGACATCCGTGTTCTACTTCAAGAAAGATACAGTGACATCCTTCAAGATCCCCAGTAAACACATGCAGTTCGTTTTAGAGCACAGCTAAAGGCCAGGCTGAATCCCCAATCTCGACGCCTAGCAACGAACTGAGCTTCCCAAGACTCGATACCATGGCTCCCACCCCTCAACTCAGGGCGATGAGCCGGCGAGTTGACCACGTGTGTTTTATACTGCTGGGCCTGGCTGCCGTACAGTAGGAACTGCGCAAGAAATATAATTTCAGAAATGCGATTCCAATTCACATTGAATAGCTTCTTAGAATATGACAGTTTATTTATATCACATTTGGAAATTATCCTTGCGCTTGCACTTACCTCAGTAGAATGCAACTCACAGTTCTTTCTTTCATACATATTGCACTTAGTGAATCTTCTTTTTCTACCTTTCATACATATTGCACTTAGTGAAAAAAATACGAGTGGGTTTCCAAGAATGTAATTAAAGGTAAGAACTCTAACAATCCCAAGACCCAAAGCCAAACGCTTACAATAAATCTTCGTACAGTTTGCAACAAAATGCAGGATGATTCACGAAAACTTCCTGATTTGAAAGCTCAATAATAAATAAACTAGGGACGATATGATTACGATATAAATTTAATTGAAAAAGACACTACCTAAATTTTTGTATCACTTAGTTTTAAAAATGACGGCCCCCATTGTCAATGCATTAAGTTGGTCAATTTTTGAAGTTCCGTTCAACTCGCTGAAGCATATTGACGGGTATGTTGGCGATGGCTTGGCGTATGATGTTCTTCAAAAGTGTGAAGGCAAGAGCCTTCACACTTTTGAATGCAGGCGGTATGGTCCTTGGACCCTACCTCTTGCATTCACACTTACAATTGCCCTAAATGTGTTCACCCACGTAACAATCGGTTTCCGATCAGGAACCAGACCTGAAGGACGGATGCGGAACCGAGTACAGAATTTTCGTTGAGTAGCGATTATGGACCGACCAAAAGTACGCCTCTACAGCAAATGCACGCTGCTCACTTCTCCAATGCATAGTGGTTACTGACTAGTCGGGACAAAACTTCATGACCTGGCCTTTCATATGAAATACTCCCCGCTCTTTTCCTACATCTGGCTGGTTGGCGCGATATACAAAACAGGGGGTGACTCACCCTGTAGAATGAGCTTGCACTCCACACAAGAAGAGTTTACATACATCTGAAGAGTCCGCTAATCAGAGCCATTATTCTTAGAGACAATTTTTTGGAGAAAAATGTAATTTATTAGAATCTTCCAAAAACTAGTTTCAACCATTCAAATTACGTCACGAAACAACCCTCAACTTTCGTCACAAAAAAATTTACATTCAACTGCTTTGGCGCAACTGAGATTCGAAACGATACAGAGTAAAGAATAGTAAAGTTACAACGCACATTAGTTTATATAATTGAAAGGTAAGGAAATATGCTGCAGCTCCTATTTCAACTTCCATTTAAAATCGAGTCATAAAATAATTTGAATGAATATTTTTCAGTTTTAAATAACAATCCAATTGCGTTGACACGAACATCCTGAGCACCACATAAAGAATATAAATTATTTGACATGAACATCCTGAGCACCACTTAAAGAATATAAATAATTTAACATGAACATCCTGAGCACCACTTGAAGAATGTAAATGATTTGACATGAACCCCTGAGCACCACTTAAAGAATATAAATAACTTGATACAAACATCCTGAGCAACACTTAAAGAATATAAATGATTTGACACTAACATCCTGAGCAACACTTAAACAATATAAATGACTTGACACTAACATCCTGAGCAACACTTAAACAATATAAATGACTTGACACTATGCACAGCTAAAGGCCAGGCTGAATCCCCAATCTCGACGCCTAGCAACGAACTGAGCTTCCCAAGACTCGATACCATGGCTCCCACCCCTCAACTCTGTGCTTCTGCAACCTAGCTACAGCGGTTCAAAACACCATCTTAATTCAACGCAGCAAGTTATGACATTCATGTTCTTAAACACGACTTCTATCAGCAAGAAACAACACTTAGTTGAAGAAATTGAAGCTGATCAAACATTTCTGCCGAAATC